AATATGATTGTAAATACCTATTGGAATTTGACTTTGTGAGAATGATGGGTATCACTTAAACTGATTACAGAGGGTGGTATCTTGATAATTAACTTAGTTCAATTTTCAATAGAAACGAACACTACTTTCGTCAAATTGAACACTCTTTTCTTTTTGTGTTATTTTTTCCTGATGTTTTATTCTCACCCTACACCAGAAATGGTAGCGGGTCTAACTAACTAACAGTTAGTAAACTATCTCAATGAGTAGCTATTTTTTGATACGAATAAAAGACGAATGATAACAAGAACTAAAAGCGAAATATGCTTACATCCGGGTCAACAAAATTATTCAAAGCATCAAGCTCTTCGGCGGTTAGTGCCGATAATAGACTATCGAAGTCTTCCATGTAATTATCATTTGACGTTTTTGAAGTTGACATTGTCATTATGTAGGATTTGTTCTAATATATCAAATAAAAACAAAATATTAAATTCAAACCGAACTTGCTTCTTACACAACATATTGTACTTTACATAGAACCGAAGATAGCACAACTTTATTGATAGAAAACAACAGCTATCATGTCCTTAACTTATTGCACCTTTGAGAGAATTACAAATTCCTCATTTTAGTATCCTAATCTTTACCGTAAAATTCTTCCATCGGATCAGAGTAGCTCCATTACCTAACTACCAAAGCCAGATGGTTTACAAAACAGTAGGAAACCTCTACATCAATACGTTGTCACCAAGTAAAATAAAAGGAGAACATCAGTACTTAATTGGCTCAGCTCTCTCTCGATGTATACAATAGTTCAAATCAGTGCTTTTGCAGCAGTCTCAAACAGAAAAACTACATTACATAAATGCAAGACTTGTTTTTTGGAGACGAGTTACGTACTGTTGAATTATGCAAGATGTAAGAGTATAAGCATTAACTATACAATCGACCCGAGGTTTTGACTTTCCGATGCCAGCTGTAGCTCTTAATTTTGAGCTCGTATAGTCTAATTTTGCGTGCACTCGCTTATTTTTCAGAAGTTATATATATATATATATATATAACTATATATATAGAGAAACAATATCAACCATGGCAGATTAGCGTTATCCTCCATAGGTTTCGTAGGAGATGATATATAAAAATAACAAGCAAGGTGGTTCAACTTTTAAGTTCACATTTCAGCTTGAAAAAAACGAATTTAAGCAGAAAAGGCTTTCCTGGAATTCCTTCTTTTTTTGTTTTAGATGTCGCTATCGAATGACATGCTTTCTTTTCAATTACATGAAGCCCAACTCAGTTTTTATCATTGGTTCATAAATCGGTCAAATAACACTTACACCTAACACTTACTTCAAACTATATAGTTCTATATCACCTAGTCGCGTTCAACGTCCGAACCACTTCCCTCACTATATTATGCTAGTTTATTTGCAGCATCGAGGGTACCGACCTCAGTGAATAGCGCTCTATTATATATATGTATCTAAGAAATATGTTTCTTAGATACATACATATAATAGATAGAGACCTGCATGAACAATTTTGTTTTGTCCATGTCCATGAAATGTTCGCGTTTTTTAAATACGTTTTGCGTATGAGAATTAGAGACCTGCATGGACAAATTTTTTTTGTCCATGGATAGATTTAAAAAAACTGTCCACGTCCATGGACATCCATGGACATGTCCATCTAATGCAGGGCTCTAATAATAGAGGACTATTCAAACACTCGTAGTCGACCAAAAATCTGCCTAATATCTTATGGTTCGAACTTCGAATGCCGAAAGATGCAAACGTATTTTTTTATTTTTAAGCTGTTACTCTGCTCGCAAGATAATGCTAATCTCATTTGTTGTTATTTTTTCAGACACCTTGAATATTTTCTTTATGTGGATCTGAACAGATAGACATGGCATTCTTTGTCAATTCTGAAGAAAACGTACGTTACTTAGAAATCAATATCGTATTGTTACTTTTGTTGTTACTTTCAGTCTGGCACTGATCTGTTTAATATAGGAAAAGAATGGTTTAGTGGCCTTCGTTTAATCTCAAATCCATTAAAAAGTAACAGCGATGTTAACGACTTGTTTTTAGTTAAAAGAAATGAGTCTGTTATAAATCATAACACAAGCGAAGTGCGTTTCATTCAGATTTTCTTAAAAACTTTTATTCAGTTCTGAAATTTATTTTAGCAAAACTATTCAAATTTATCACAAGTAGAACATTTATATGAATATACTAAGCAACTAAAGGAAAAACCGTGTTTGCCTGATGATTATTTTTCCCATCAACCAATAATTAATGTAAATAAAACATTAACTCTTAGCGTTTCTAAATATTTAGCCTAAATTTTTTCCTTTAGACATCCAGTCAACATAGGGAACATAGTAATATTTTACATTGTTTACCGTCACAAACGACATTGTATGATTTATGTCAAATATCAACGACTAATGATCAAACGCAAGACGGTTGTTTTAAAGCACTTAATTATGAGGTATGTATTATTTGCTTCGTTGGAAGTAAAACAAAACAGATAGAGCACTACTGATGTTTCATGCTAAGGATTCCATCAGTGACGATGGTTTTCAATCGGCATCATCTGGATTAACTTCGCCAACCAATTCATTTGAAAAAGCATCTGTTGTTTCAAAAAAACAAGAGGATGATGAGTCGAATGAAAAGAACAAGAATGTGATCAATATATGGAATAAAGCATTAATTAACAATCAAAATGAATACTATACATGGGAAAATAGAGGCAGGTCAGCATCAGTAATTCGAAAAAGATGTATCAAAATAAAAGCTAAAGACTAAGTTTATTATTATTTTTTTTAATATTTCAGTCATTCATTTCGGTGTACATTGCCATATCTTTTCGATATTCGTGATAATTCATTTACAAAATTTTGTTGGTTTTTATTATCTCAAGATTCATCCATTTGTATGAACGAAAACAATATTATTCAGTTTCGTTCAATATCCCTTTGTGAATTTCTTCGTGATTTATGTTATTTATTATTAAATGTTCCATCTTCCTCATTTAGCTGGCAAGAGGTAAATATTTTTTTTATGTTTGTTCAGATAACGCTTGTTAATAAAGTATGATTTTTCACGAGTGAAGAAATTGTAGAAGTTGAGGATAGCAAGGAGCACTTTTAGAAGAATTCTAGTTCTCTTAAAACTTCAAATTTTCTTTAGACTGACCAAACATTTATGTTTAATTCTGAGGTGGTTGTCGATGGCTATACTCGAGAGGCCATTAGAATATTTGCATTGAAGTATGTCACTGCAGGAAATAAGTTTTGTATCATCTACAATTATGTTAATGATGAGAAGAATGACATACATTCATGTGAAACTGAAATACAATTTCGTCGAGCATTAAGATATTATTTACGTTTTATACAAAATACCATTGTCATTCATGAAATGTCAAAATTTTCATTGATACAATTTTCATCTCATATTGATACAATTATTTGTACTGTTGAGTATGTTATTCTTTATTTTTAACATAAATTTTATGTATAAAAAAATGTTTTAATATTCTAGTCTTCCAGTCAGTTTAATAGTCGATATTAAAAACTTAGAAAAGTTAATTCAAACAAATTGTCCAACAACATCATTAGCATTCATTAAATTATCATCGATTTTACATACGTTATTGACTCATCGTCATCATACCGTTAATAACAATCATTTTTTATTACTGTTACATTTTGTCACCTATTCATTACGTCCGTTAATCAAATTTTTCCAACAATTAATATTGTATTCAGTTCATGATGATCGTTATAATGAATTTCCAATTGTTTTTAATCAAGATAGAAGAAATGGATTAAAAACGAATGATTTTTGGACTAAAACATTTATGATACGCTACTTACATTCAACAAATCAAATAAATAGGGATATTTTACATCAGATATTATCATTTGATTTATTACAACAAATTGTAAATATAACAAGATCATTGACATTGATACGTTTATGTGATAAACATCATCCTCTATGTTCAGATGATAATTTTTATCCGAGTTTAAAATTTGTTTGTGCCTATAATGAAATAGATAGAAAGGATATTGAACAATATAAAATATATATGAATGAAAAAATTGATCGACACGAACAGAACAGGTACATTTTGTATACTTGATAAGTATACATCGTCTATTAAATATTTAGTAATGTAATAAGAATGAATTGTTTTTATTTTATTTTAGACGAGATTTTCGTTTACAAATTGAAGAAGCAAAACGTCAAGAACTTCTTGAAAGATATGCTGTAGTAGATAAAAGAAGAGAAGTTATGCAAGGTAGATTACAAATGACATGACTTATTTTTCATCTTAAAAAGATGTTGTCTATTTAGATATGATGGATAATCAACAAAAGAAAGACATTGAAAAAAGACGAAAAATTCGTCAACAGTTAGAAGAACAAATTGAAGATAAAGAACGACAGGTATGATTTGAATTGATTTTTGATGGTGAAACGAGAATACTTTGTTTTAGAAAAAAGAAGAGAAAATCGCTGATACTGCTGCTAGACAAAACCCTGATACGAATATAACAACTGTTATAGGATCACAATTGCCATCACAATATTCAAATCTTGTTGACAGTGTTAGGTACGTTTTTTCGTTTTTTTTAAATTTGTCTATAAGTCAACGTTTGAATGATTTATTTGTCTTCTAGGCAAGAACTAATAACAACTTATGATAAAAAAACTCGTATCGTTGATGAGCGCGAACAACTTGCGAAATTGAGAGTTCAACAACACAAAGGTGAAGATACAATAAAAGTATCCAAAACTGTTACTGAAAATAAACACATTCCATCGCAAATCGTAGATACAAATGTTGATAACGAAATAATTATTAGAAAACATGAAATTAGTCCTATTGAATCACTCGTTGAAACTGATAGTGGAATAGAAACATTAAATACAACAATAACGGTTGACGAAGAAGGAAATGATACACTCGATTTAACAACATCAATAACGACGCCATCGAAAAATCACCTTGATAATCTATCGAAAAACAAGCCATCCTCTAATTCGAGCAATGTTAATGATATTTTACATACAAAACAAGTAATGGGTTATCATGTTAGTCACGAATCTTCTTCATCAACAATGGATAGACAATCTGAAAAACAGAATGAAATTACTGTTTATCGTCCATCAGTTCGAATAGTACCCAGCAATGTTTTAAAATCAACTGTGCAAAATTATATGAAACGAAACATAGAGAGTGTGAATGATGATAGTAAGAAATGTCAATGATACTTTCGAGTACACATTGGATGTTGTTGTACGTTTAGACTTAGTAGTAGAAGACGAACAGAAAGTGTATGATTGGGATGAAGTCATTGCTGCCGGACCACGATTTCACTATAGTGATTCATTTAGTATGTATTTAATAAAAAGTCTTTTTGACTTAATTATAAATTCTTTTCTTAAGAATTAAATAGAAACAATCAGTTGGAAGTCTCGACAGCTTCCAATGTTCGTGATGTTGAAATGGATGGTATTATGCCGCTGAAAGTTTGGCTTGATCAATCATTGTCACCGATTATTCATTTACAGTAAATAATTAAAATTCGTTCGTTAAAAAAATATTCATATCTTTTTTTTCTGTATTGGTCTCAGATCTCAGTTGGTCAATCGTGCACTACTCAATTATTTTCAAGATGAACTACAATTACATCAACATTTAGGAAATTTGCGAACATATTACTTTTTAGCGAAGGGCAGATTTGGTCAAGCATTTTGTCAAGAATTATCCCGACAGGTAGATTTGTCTTTAAAAGGAAAACATGTTTTGATCTCTCTTATGAGACAGTTGTAAAGTTCATATTGATATTTTACTTTAAAATTGAGTTGCAAAGGAAATTGTTCTCTGTTAGATAATTTTCATGATGATAAGTGACACAAATCTAGTATTCAACGTTTTGAGTAAATAAGTATAAAATCATAGGAGTTCTCAGTGACTACGTACGTTGTCGCACTCATTCTTGACTCAGGTTTTATTTGTACTTTAGTTATTATTGACAGATGATGTAAGATCAGTTTACAAAGTATCATCGTTGCGCCATTGTCTCTATAGCTCATTGGATCAAGCAGGTGAACTGAATAATCTGGATATTCTTCGATTGGTAATAAAGCCAGATATACCAAATTCCCTTGGTCTATTAGGTAGTTATTGAAATGTTGCTCTTTTTCTTGCTTTAACAATTTTGATTTGAATTCAGATTCATCTCTACTTGATTATTTTGATCTTATTTATGTGGTTAAATGGCCAATGAATATTATCGTTACGGACGACATGATTGAGAAATATAAATCCATCTTTCGTTTTTTACTACGTATCTTATTGATAAAACAAGTACTAAATGAAATTTGGGTTACATTAAAATCTGGTAATTGATTTTCAAAATCAAAATTTTTTTTTTTAACGGGAAGCTTTTTGGAGAAAGTTTTTATCACCAAGAGATAGGGGTTGCTAACGAGGGACCATCGCCAACTGGTCAACTCCAATTGCAATAATCGTTTGCCGATAGATACTATATAGTGTCCTAGTGATAATCCTAAAAGCATTTGGATGTATGGCTCTTCGTTCAAAAGTTAAGAATTTTTCTATTTTCGCGGCCTAGACACCTTCAAAGGCGCCAACAAATTTTGCAAGCCTATCT